TATTCAGTGGCAGCACAGTGGCTAAATGGTTAGCACTTCCACCTGGCAGTACTAGGGTCGTTGGTTCGAATCCCAACCATGGCACCACCTGCCTGGAGTTTGCATGCTCTCCCTGTGCCTGCATGGGTTTCCTCTGGGTACTCTAGCTTCCTCCCACATTCCAAAGACATGCTGGTAGGTTAATTGCTCCTAGTATGTGTATGAATGAAAGTTAGGGACCTTAGATTAGCCTTGAGGGTTAGGGACTGATGTGAATGTACAATGTATATACACACAGATATAAGGAGTGTGTGTCACGGCTGAATTGATGGTGCTAAGTAAGTACCTGTAATAATAATTCAGTCAGCATAAACTGTTCAGCGGAGGGTAGGTTTAAGGATGTGGGACCAGTGAGTATTTGGTTATTTCTTTTGTAAGTAGCATTTAAAGCTCCTTCCACCCCCCAATCAAGATACTAATAATGTTTTAAAACTTCTCCTTCATGTTAGACTAGCTCTGGGTTCCTCCAGAGCTTGCTGGGGAGTCCATGAGCTGTGGATGGTTGGATGGTCTTGAGCTTGGCCTAGGTGGCCTGGTCTGAAGAATGACATTTTCTTTTACATCATGTGGATGGCTGGGTGTGTGCCGCTTACCTGGGGAAGAGATGGCTCCAGGATGCAGTATGGGAAGAAGGCAAGCCTGTGGAGGCAGTGTGATGCTTTGGGCAATGTTCTGCTGGGAAACCTTGGGTCCTGCCATTCATGTAGATGATACTTGACATGCATCACCTACCTAAACATTGTTGGTGACCAATTACACCCCTTCATGGAAACAGTTTTCCCTAATGGCAGTGGCCTTTTTCAGCTTGATAATGTGCCCTTCAACACTGCAAAAATGGTTAAGGAATGGTTTTAGGTGTTCACTTGACTTGACCTCCAAATTCTTCAGTCGAGCATCTGTGGGATGTGCTGGCAAAACAACTCTGATCCATGGAGACCCTACCTTGCAACTTACTGTACATAAAGGAACTGCTGTTGACAGCTTAGTGCCAGATATCACAGCTTCCCTTCCGAGGTCTAGTGGCATCCATGTCTCTACAGGTCAGAGCTTTTTTGGCAGCAAGAGGGGGACCTACTCAGTAGTAGGTGGGTGGTCATATAGTTATGGCTGATTGGTGTACGCGCTGGCACAAGCTAAATACCAGATGACTTCCAGCAGCATTAGACAGTATATTCCTGTATATATTGTTTTTTTTTTACAAGTTGTGGCTCTGTACTGGTTTAAAAAAAAAAAAAAAAATCTTGATAAATAGGAAGAGTAGAAGTGCTGGAATTCTTCCCATAACCTGTACTGTTATAATGTTTCATTTGGGTCTCCTCCATAGAAACCAGACTTTTCATACACTGAACTGATGATGCCCAAAAATCCTGAAGCAGTGCTATGCAGTTTATAATAACAAGCTGTATTTGCACATATGGCTGATGGGACGTAAATCAAAGAGCTGCACGGCTCTGCTCGCTGTCCTGAAAAGAGGAATAATCCTCTTATTTTTGGGATTTGTGATGGAGGAATGAGACCTGTGAATACCTTCTGTCCTAGAACGGCTTTTATTGTGCTACCCCAGACCAGACCGAAAAGACACTAAAAACCTTCCTGAGATTTGTTCAGAAAGTCAAACTTCCAATTTCTTAATAAGCAAAAGGGAACAAAGACAACAGCAAAAAAAAAAATGAATGTCTATGAACAGTGTTGTGGACTATATCAGGGCTCTCGTAACTATGGCCCACAGGCTACATCTGTCCCCCAACAAGATTTTACCTGGCTCAGGTCAGTAATGTGTACAGTTGAGGATTAAGGTCAGCAAAGGCTGCCCATAGTCTCCTCTTCAACTTCAGAGCCAGATGTAATGGGATGCTTTGATGGCATTTCTGATGGGAACCATGATAAAATGGGGGACTGAGATGAAGACCCTGACGTAAGGGGGGGTCTCTGCTTGGGACCCTGACGTAAGGGGGGTCTTTGATGAAGACCGTGATGTAAGGGGGTGCCTGGTGACACTGATGTAAGGGGAGGGTCTCTGATGAAGACTTTGATATAAGGAGGGCTAGAGATTTTTTCTTTTCAACCTGCAATTATTTGTAAAATATACTGTGGCCCTCATACTGAAAAGTCTGGAGCCCTGTGGATGTTATGTAAGATACAAAAAAAATGCACACACATACTCAAATTATATACATTTTATTAACATTTGTCCCCAAGTTGAGGAATGTCATTAGTACATAAATAAAACAAACAAAATTTGACCAAATATCCATGACGTTGTATTGCGATATGAAAGCTTTGTATATGCAGTGATACTAATCAGATTGGGTTTATGGGGTAAGCTCTACATTAGTTTAATAAGTAACCAGAATAAATTCTGGATGGTCTAAGGCTCTGCATAATATATTGGAGGAAAAAAAAACACTGCATACAGTAAACTGACCGATCTACCAGGCGGAACCTATTTTATAAATACTGGCCAAAAAATATTCAGCTCAATTCACTAAGATAAAACACATGTTATTTGAGGCAGCTGGATTTTTCACCCATGTGATTGCTGTTGTCATCACTCTTTGCTGCTGTTGTCACTCTTTGGCTGTCTTTGCTGAAATTAACATTTATGTCCAGTAACCATTGTTGGATCTTAGTAATCTGTGCCCAATATTACACTTGGCAACTAGGTGACGTCTTACCCAGCCTGGACCCCTCATTTGCAGTAGTGTGCTTCATGCAGCAAAGGATCTGAAATAACAGTGTGAGGGGCACATCACCCATAATACCCCATTACTTTCCTACGCTACAAAATAGAAATACTTAGTCCAGACTGCCCACAGCAAACAATCAGAATCTTTGATACCTTCACACATTACTTTTTTTTTTTGAGCCTCCTTAGAAACTGTAGCACAGTTGCCATTTAAGGGTGTATTTATAAAAAAATAAATCACATACAAGTCCATTGAAAAATCGTATGTTCTCAGGCAATGTCCTCTACCATTCAAATGTGTGAATGTGGAAGATACAACATTATGGCCACTATCATAGAAAATAGGTCCTCTCCTCAGCTCCAGCCGGTGGCCATATTGTGGTATTTTCTGCATTCAAATTACAGAGAATATAGCCTGAGAACATTCGATTTTGCCTCATTCACTAAGAATACATTTACATGCAATTTTGATTGATGAATAGTTGTGCAAAGTTTTTATAAATACACCCCAAGTGTGTACATGGCAGTGGCTGAAAATAGAACATCCGATAAAATATGGTCAAGTGCTAGAAACCTACAAGCTCACTGAGAATGCAGCCCATCCATAACTAGAGACCAGTGACATCACAAAGAATGCAGCCCATAAGTAACCAGAGATCACAAAGAATGTAGCCTATCTGTAACCAGAGACATCACTGAGAATGCAGCCTATCTGTAACCAGAGACCAGTGACATCACTGGGAATGCAGCCTATCAATTCACTGGAGACAGATGACATCATTTACAATGCAGCCTAGCCATTCACTTGTGACCAGCAACATCACTGAGAATGCAGCCTATTTACTGGAGACCGATGACATCACTGAGAATGCAGCCTATCCATTCACTAGAGACACACTGAGAGTGCAGCCTATCCATTCACTAGAGACCGATGAGATCACCGAGAATGCAGCCTATCCAGTCACTAGAGACCGATGAGATCACCGAGAATGCAGCCTATCCAGTCACTAGAGACCGGTGACATCACCGAGAATGCAGCCTATCCAGTCACTAGAGACCGATGAGATCACCGAGAATGCAGCCTATCCAGTCACTAGAGACCGGTGACATCACCGAGAATGCAGCCTATCCAGTCACTAGAGACCGATGAGATCACCGAGAATGCAGCCTATCCAGTCACTAGAGACCGGTGACATCACCGAGAATGCAGCCTATCCAGTCACTAGAGACCGATGAGATCACCGAGAATGCAGCCTATCCAGTCACTAGAGACCGGTGACATCACCGAGAATGCAGCCTATCCAGTCACTAGAGACCGGTGACATCACCGAGAATGCAGCCTATCCAGTCACTAGAGACCGGTGACATCACCGAGAATGCAGCCTATCCAGTCACTAGAGACCGATGAGATCACCGAGAATGCAGCCTATCCAGTCACTAGAGACCGGTGACATCACGAGAATGCAGCCTATCCAGTCCCTAGAGACTGATGAGATCACCTAGAATGCAGCCTATCCAGTCACTAGAGACCGATGAGATCACCGAGAATGCAGCCTATCCAGTCACTAGAGACCGGTGACATCACCGAGAATGCAGCCTATCCAGTCCCTAGAGACTGATGAGATCACCTAGAATGCAGCCTATCCAGTCACTAGAGACCGATGAGATCACCGAGAATGCAGCCTATCCAGTCACTAGAGACCGGTGACATCACCGAGAATGCAGCCTATCCAGTCCCTAGAGACTGATGAGATCACCTAGAATGCAGCCTATCCAGTCACTAGAGACCAGTGACATCACTGAGAATGTAGACTGTGGCTTGCCGGAATGACTAACTTTGAGAAATCCAATGTGAAAAGCTCAGGCTGGGTAAGTTCCCGTCATAGTTGGTGGCCATAGCAGATTAGAACACACTTCCTTCCTCCAGGAAAGGACACAGTACTGTATATGAGATGTAGGAGTAGTCAGGAAGGCTGGGAGTCTGGATTCTATACATGGACTCGGCTTAGCTGAACCTGCCTGGTGTACAGGGGAGTGTACGGCTTAATACATTTGTCCGGGTCTTGAATACAATCAGATCTTCTCCACTTCAGTGCCCATCATGCCACGGTATGGTTTTATTAGCATTTAAATCAACCAGATCCTACAAGTAACATTCAAGGGCCGCGCCCGTCGTTTACCAGCCACCGCTGGTTTTCTGCTCACACATTCCTGCTGCTTTGTTCCGGGAATAATAAATATTTTACTAGTCTCTCTGTGCCCGACTTTCCCCCGGTTAGATGTTGGGGAAGCGGTAGTTGAATTTTCTGGTGTTGTAATATTTCTTACTCTCCAGGGCTGGTAAGAGGTTGCTGTTGGTAAGCTGTGGGAGATGCTGCAGCTGTAGGAAGAGAGCAGAAGGTCAGTTGGTGGAACCCAGATCTCCGAGCTTCAACTGGTAATGAAAGAAATAGAGCCCTGCTTGCTGATCGCCTAAGAAAAGTAGTTGCCTGGCTTCAATACCAGGTCAGAAAGAGGGAGGGAGGTCAGGGAGGGAGGTCAGTAGCTGCCCTCATATTCTCTCACAGCAGGTTTTTTTTTTTTTTAAGCATTGCTACATTACTTTGACAGGCATTGAAGTGATTCTAAAGGTTGTAATTAAACAAACCTGTTATACTTACCTGCTCTGTGCAATGGTATTGCACAGAGCAGCCCCAATCCTTTTATTTTTGGGTTCGCTGCCAGCGGTCCTGGCTCCTCCTCCCAGCCGAGTGCCCCCAATAGCAAGCCTCTTGCGCTGGGGGCACTCAAGCAGGTTAACTCTCGAGCTGTGCTCCTGTGAATGGACATTGTCTCTGAAGCACACAAACATGCAAAACATGTCTTGCAGTGTGGCAATGCATGTGCTAGCACGCTCATTACTGCAACATTGTGAACCCAGCCTGAAAGCAGAACTAAACCCATCGAGGGAATGGTCAAAAAAAAAAAAAAACGAGTTAAAATTATAATTCCCAGCATGCCGGAAATGCTAATGGTCACAGTTGCTTGTGCTCTCAACCAAACTGTCAGATCAACAATTGGCTGGTGTCATAACTGATCACATGTGCAGCACCATGGCAGTTGCAGATCAATCAGAATCAGAAGATAGCAGCTTCCTTGGCAGAAGGGGATAGGCGGGTTTAGTTCGGTTTGAAAGAATGGGAAAGAGTTGGAGTTGCCTCTAGCCAGCCATGTGGCAAAACCACTTAGAATGCCATGTTCAACCCATAGTGCCTTGTTGGCTCAATTAGCTGTCAAATTTTAAAAAAAAGTGGCCCAGCGGGGCTCCACCCACACAGCCGTGTCACCAGGGGCAGACTGACAACTCATGGGGCCCCCAGGCAATAGGGGATCATGGGGCCCCTGTGTCCTTGCCCAAACTCAAAAAAGCCTATGAAAAAGGTACCAGAGGCATCTCATGGGGCCCCCTACTGACCCCGGGCCCTCGGGCAATGCCCGCGTTTCCAAATGGTCAGTCCGCCCCTGCATGTCACTCATTTACAGCATTCTGTGAATGAGTGACTACAAGTCCCGACAGCCTGTGGAGCACCGTGGTAGTTCATTGAATCTTCCCGTCAGTATATCTGCTTGCCTGAACATCCCATACAGCAGGCAGATATTCTGACAGGTCTGCAGGAGACCTGCATGGCATCAGCAATGTACTGATCGCTGCTGCAATGCTTTCCAGGCTCCTGTAGACAAAATTAATAAATGCACTTTTTTTAACCTGTAAAAAAATGTGCATTTATTATTTCTGTTGAAAATGTGAACTTATCCTTTAACTCTTGGCTGCCACAGCTCCCTGGCTCTTTAAGAGAATATAAATGCCGGGAAGGGGGGGGGGGCAGGCATTCTGATCATGTGACCACTGTAATCCGCTGTCACCGCAGTCACATGATTGAAAGCGCCCAATTACAAGTATACATCGGGAGCTTTCTGTGACATTTTAGTTACTGTGCTGGGAGTGTGCAGTGTACAGAAATATGTTCCCTATGTGGCTTCTCGGCATTAAAGCCCACCGGCCCCATAGGTCACATATATGTGTACAGCTGGTGGAAACAGGTAATACTCCATCTGTACATTCAGTTTAAATCGACTAAATACATTGCAGGTGAATCCAAATAAAAAAGGTCTTGATTTGCTTTTCTTTTTTTTTTTTTTTTTTTTTAATAAAAAAAAAAAAAAAAACTACAGCCTGAGTAGAAAAGCCTGTCCCTTGCCAGCATGCTGCAGAGAAGGATCCTTGCTCACAGTGGTCTCTGCGCAGAAATCAACATTCCCCCTGCTGAGTCAGAACCAGAGCCCTCCCAACAAGTTAGGAACATGAACCTTGCTGACTGCTGAGCTAAAGGTCTCACACTCTCATGTTTTAATTGCCATATGTGTCCCCATGAAAGAGATTTCTCCTCATTTCCTGTCCTGGTGATCAAACGGATAGGAAATTAAAGTAATATCTTTCCTATGAGGGCAAAGAAAAGAAAACCAGAAAGGGATACTAACCCTTCACCACTCAAACAAAAACCCAGACTTTAAAGTGAACTCCAGGCAGATATGAAACAAAAATGCAGTTCTGTAACCATTATTAATACTCCATTACATTTATTTTTTTTGCAAGTAGTGTAAGTATCTGATTTGGACCCAATATCAGCTTCTTGCAGTCCCTGTACATCACCGCTAAAATTAGGATGGACACGACTGGAAGCCAGTCAGGCGTGCTACAGGGATCATGCTGATAGAAGGAGTGACTTCAAAATGGGCCTGTCAGTCTGCTGCTTCTCCTTTCACTGTCCAGTCACAGGATGAAGGAGGGACAAGACTTGTAAGTCCTCATGCACTCGGGACGTTATGGTAACGTTAGCTGTGTAAAACGACTGGAAGCCAGCCAGGCGTGCTACAGGGATCATGCTGATAGAAGGAGTGACTTCAAAATGGGCCTGTCAGTCTGCTGCTTCTCCTTTCACTGTCCAGTCACAGGATGAAGAAGGGACATTACTTGTAAGTCCTCATGCACATGGGACGTTATGGTAACGGTAGCTGTGTAAAACGACTGGAAGCCAGCCAGGCGTGCTACAGGGATCATGCTGATAGAAGGAGTGACTTCAAAATGGGCCTGTCAGTCTGCTGCTTCTCCTTTCACTGTCCAGTCACAGGATGAAGGAGGGACAAGACTTGTAAGTCCTCATGCACATGGGACGTTATGGTAACGGTAGCTGTGTAAAACGACTGGAAGCCAGTCAGGCGTGCTACAGGGATCATGTGTAGAAGGAGTGACTTCAAAATGGGCCTGTCAGTCTGTGCTTCTCCTTTCACTGTCCAGTCACAGGATGAAGGAGGGACAAGACTTGTAAGTCCTCATGCACACGGGACGTTATGGTAACATTAGCTGTGTAATGTCACGTGAGTTTTTCAGCTTTTTTTTTTTAGCGTTTTTGCATTGGCATTTTGCCGCGTTTTATTAGTGTTTTTTTTTTTACCCGGTCAAAAAAAGTCCAAAAACGCCAGTTTGTGGTGTTTTTACCGCATTTTCCAGTGTTAGAGTGTTTTTACAGCTAAAAAACTCCTCTAGAAGCCCACTAGTCCTGGGTTTTTTTTTCCAGCCAAAAAATGTTGATTCCAGTCTATGTGTATGGACACATAGGATAACATACTGGGGGGGTTTACTGGCTGTAGAAACAAAACGTCAAAAAGCCAAAAACATTTTTTTAGCAGTTTTTTTTTACCGCAAAAACAATTTTTTGGGTCAAAAAAGTCCATAAATGCCGGTTTGTGCCATTTTACCATGTTTTGCCGCATTTTTCAGCATTAGAGCAATTTTACAGCTAAAAAGCTCATCTAGAAGCCCACTAGTTCTGGGGGGGTTTTTTTCCAGCCAAAAAATTTTGATTACAGGCTATGTGTGTATGGACACATAGGATAACATGATGGGGGGGTTTACTGGCTGTGGAAAAAAACATCAAAAGCCAAAAACAGCTGCTGTAAAAATGTCCCGTGTCTATGAGGACTAAGTGTTACTGCAGCAGAGAAAAATCAGGCAGAGCTGTGCAAATCCCAGGACTGGATGGACAGAAATAGGATTTCTAGGTAAAGCATCTCCCATATACAGTATGTATTGTATGTGTATTTAGCGGTTTGCCTGGAGATCAGCTTTATATGGGATCTGTAGAAGAAAGAAGATTCCCCAGTCCAGCTTCACTTCCATGGTAGTATCTGAAGACCTCCCAACTTCCATTGTGTTCTACTCCATCTGCATCTACTGATACAACACGGAACCCAATAAACATGAGTGTCAATGAAACCAGAGTGATAGACCCCAGTGCTGGGGCCAATGTTGCTGTACGTACCCCAGGAAAGTATTTCCGGTGCAATCTGGTCTGTTTCCGGCTCACTCTCTCTGGATCCTTGGCGGCCTCCGCTTCCTCCCGGATGCTGTCAAAGTACGGGTGTTCCAGCAGCTGCTCACACTTTAGTCTCTCTGCAGGGTCCATGTGAAGGCAACCCTGTAGGTGCAGAAGGGAACAATCTATAGCCATGCTTTTAAATGTTCATGGGTTCATAAATGACATCGTACAAAGGTGCCGCCATTGGATTGATCTAGTGATAGCATGCAAAGAAACCTTCACAGAAACCAAGCAGATTCCATTCCGCCAAATCATTCAAAGTTATTAAATACAAACATATTTATTAACACAGACCCAAGATGTACCTAGGACAGTGGTGGCCAGATGCGGCCCCTTGCTTGCCTTTATCCAGCCCTTGGGGCACTTTTCCTCCCCCTGATACAAGACACTATTGTGCCCACTGGCACCAACAATGGGGCATAAATCCTGCTGCTAACATAACCAACGGGCACTATTCCTCCCACTGACACCAACCATGGGGCGCCATTTCTGCCACTGACACCAACCATGGGATACTGTTGCCCTCACTGACACCCACAATGGGGCACTATTCCTCATACTAACACCAACAATGGGACACTATTGCTCCTGACACCAATGAAGGGGCACTATTCCTCCTACTGACACCAACAACAGGGCACTATTCCTCCTACTGACACCAACAACAGGGCACTATTGCTCCTACTGACACCAATTAGGGGCACTATTCCTCCTACTGACACCAACAACAAGGCACTATTGCTCCTACTGACACCAGTGAAGGGGCGCTATTCCTCCTACTGACACCAACAACAGGGCACTATTGCTCCTACTGACACCAATGAAGGGGCACTATTCCTCCTACTGACACCAACAACAGGGCACTTTTCCTCCTACTGACACCAACAGGGCACTATTCCTCCTACTGACACCAACAACAGGGCACTATTCCTCCTACTGACACCAATGAAGAGGCACTATTCCTCCTACTGACACAAACAACAGGGCACTATTGCTCCTACTGACACCAACAACAGGGCACTATTGCTCCTACTGACACCAATTAGGGGCACTATTCCTCCTACTGACACCAACAACAAGGCACTATTGCTCCTACTGACACCAGTGAAGGGGCGCTATTCCTCCTACTGACACCAACAACAGGGCACTATTGCTCCTACTGACACCAGTGAATGGGCACTATTCCTCCTACTGACACCAACAACAGGGCACTATTGCTCCTACTGACACCAGTGAATGGGCACTATTCCTCCTACTGACACCAGTGAAGGGGCACTATTCCTCCTACTGACACCAGTGAAGGGGCACTATTACTCCTACTGACACCAACAACAGGGCACTTTTCCTCCTACTGACACCAACAGGGCACTATTCCTCCTACTGACACCAACAACAGGGCACTATTCCTCCTACTGACACCAACAACAGGGCACTATTCCTCCTACTGACACCAATGAAGAGGCACTATTCCTCCTACTGACACAAACAACAGGGCACTATTGCTCCTACTGACACCAACAACAGGGGCACTATTGCTCCTACTGACACCAACAACAGGGCACTATTGCTCCTACTGACACCAATTAGGGGCACTATTCCTCCTACTGACACCAACAACAAGGCACTATTGCTCCTACTGACACCAGTGAAGGGGCGCTATTCCTCCTACTGACACCAACAACAGGGCACTATTGCTCCTACTGACACCAGTGAATGGGCACTATTCCTCCTACTGACACCAACAACAGGGCACTATTGCTCCTACTGACACCAGTGAATGGGCACTATTCCTCCTACTGACACCACCAACACGTGAAGGGGCACTATTCCTCCTACTGACACCAACAACAAGGCACTGTTGCTCCTACTGACACCAATGAAGGGGCACTTTTCCTCCTACTGACACAAACAATGGGGCTCTATTCCCCCTCCCCAATACCAAAGATGCATTGGTTACACCCACTAACGCCAGGATAATTTTAACTCCCAAAGCCCCCCCTAAAGTCTGAAGGCCCTTTGTTCTGTAATTATGGAGACCCCTGGTCCAGGAGATCAAAAGATATGGCCTTCACTGTGGTTCCTGATCCATTTACACAGGACTAGGAAGGAAGATGATTGCCCTAGACACAACCTATCCGTGCCTCATAGGTCTGGAGGATAATCTATCAAACTGGCTGGATGTGCATTACTAAAGATGCTTATATTGCCGCTAAACATGGCTGCGGCTATCCATAACAGTATTTTCAGTACAAACGGGACTTAGACATAAACCCTGACTTAAGGCTGTATTAAACCGAAAAAAGGAAAAATGTAATATATTGCAGCTTAACAATCATTAGATGTGATGGCTGCATTAGTTTTCTTTTTTAACTTTTTTCATCTGACGATCCCCGTATTAGAGTGCCTTCACTCAGGAAGGAGCAGCACAGGGGGCACCTTTGGACAGTAGCAATGTCATTCTAGGGGGAGGGGAGTGTTAGCTGGAGATTGGCTTCAATTTATTAGTATACAGTTGCAAGAAAAAGTATGTGAACTCCTTGGGATTACGTGGAGTTTTGCATTAATTGGGCATAAAATGTGGTTATTATAGTGTTTACCAGTCACGTTTTCACCACTTCCTATCAATACCCCCTCTAGGCTAATTACCATCAAGAAATACTTCTTGTATGGTCAAATCACATCATTTATCATCCTTAAATATGTAAACAATGTTCCCTTTGAAGTGTCTAATTAGATAAACAGGGTATTCCCCAAATACTAAAAGGTGATCTTGCATACAGCTAGCATAGCAAAGAGTTCTTTTGATGTGCAAAGTGGTCTTGTCACCGGCCTGTGTGCGTCCATTCAAAATTAAACACATACATACTTACCTACAGTTCCAAGAAAAAGTATGTGAACCCCTTGGGATTACGTGGAGTTTTGCATGAATTGGGCATAAAATGTGCTCTGAACGTCATCTAAGTCACAACAATAGAAGAACACAGTCTGCTGAACATAATACTACACAAACATTAGATGTTGCCATGGTTTAATTGCACATAACATGTAAACACTCACAGTGCAGGGAGGAAAAAGTATGTGAGGCCCTAGCTTAATGACTTCTCCCAGAGCTAATTGGAGCCAGGAGTGAGCCAACCTTGACTCCAATCAGTGTGATGATATTGGATGTGTTGCTGACAGCTGTCCTGCCCTTAAAAAACACACACCTGTTTTGGGTTTACTGGTTTCAAGAAGCACTGTCTGATGTGAACCATGCCTCGCAGAAAAGAGCTCTCAGAAGACCTACGATCAAGAATTGTTGACTTGCATGAAGCTGGAAAGGGTTACAAATGTATCTCCAAAAGCCTTGATGTTCATGTGTCCACGGTAAGACAGACTGTCTACAAATGGAGAAAGTTTAGCACTGTTGCTACTCTCCCTAGGTGTGGTCGTCCTGTAAAAATGACTGCAAGAGCACAGCGCAGAATGCTGCATGAGGTAAAGAAGAATCCCAGAGTGTCAGCTAAAGACCTACAGAAATCTCTGGCACATGCTAACATTTTTGTTGACACATCTACAATAAGGAAAACATTAAACAAGAATGGAGTACATGGGAGGACACCACGGAGGAAGCCATTGCTGTCCAAAAAGAATATTGCAGCACGTTTGAAGTTTGAAAAAGAGCACCTGGATGTTCCACAGCACTACTGGCAAAATATACTGTGGACAGATGAAACCAAGATTGAGTTGTTTGGGAAGAACACACAACACTATGTGTGGAGAAAAAAAGGCCCAGCACACCAACATCAAAACCTCATCCCCACTGTAAAACATGGCGGAGGGAGCATCATGGTTTGGGGCTGCTTTGCTGCCTCAGGGCCTGGACGGATTGTTGTCATTGATGGGAAAATGAATTCCAGAGTTTATCAAGACATTTTGCAGGAAAACGTACAACCATCTGTCCGCCAACTGAAGCTCCGCAGAGGATGGGTGATGCAACAGGACAATGACCCAAAGCATACAAGTAATTCAACAAAACAATGGCTGCAACAGCACAGAATACGCCTTCTGGAGTGGCCCAGTCAGAGTCCTGACCTCAACCGGATTGAAATGCTGTGGCATGACCTTAAGAGAGCGATTCACACCAGACATCCCAAGAAATATTGCTACACTGAAACAGTTTTGTGAAGAGGAGTGGTCCAAAATGACTCCAGATCGTTGTGCAGGTCTGATCTGCAACTACAGGAAACGTTTGGTTGAGGTTATTGCTGCCAAAGGAGAGTCAACCAGTTATTAAGTCCAAAGGTTCACATACTTTTTCCTCCCTGCACTGTGAATGTTTACATGTTACGTGCAATTAAACCATGGCAACATCTAATGTTTGTGTAGTATTATGTTCAGCAGACTGTGTTCTTCTATTGTTGTGACTTAGATGATGTTCAGAGCACATTTTATGCCCAATTCATGCAAAACTCCACGTAATCCCAAGGGGTTCACATACTTTTTCTTGCAACTGTATCTAAATCTACTAGTCCATCTAACACTTTATAGGCAGTTAGAGCAGATTTTTCTTTTTTCTTTTGGGATAAGGTTTTACATAAATATATAAAAGCTGATCATTGTAAGCACGCCATCCAGTGTAAATGGTGTGTCTCATCCCTGTAACTGATACTTCTACAAGAGAGCGTGTTCTTTTGAAAAACAGCAGACTTACTGGCCAAGAAAGAAAGTTTAAAAAGAAAAACGAATGCAGCCATCACATCTAAGAATTGGTAAAATGCAGTATAATAAATGTTCACTTTGGGCTAAAAAAATGAATGGCTCAAATTGCACTGCAAATCACAGCAAACCCGCAGAGAAACCGCATGAGATTCGGACAGGAATCAAGCCGCATTCCTATTCAAATCACATGCGATTCTTTGCAATTTGAGTCCATTCATTTTGTTTGGGCTCAGATCGCACCGCAAAGGTATCAGAACATTCATAAAAATAAAATAAAGGAATGCGCTAGTAATAAAGCATCAAATAATCTGAAACAATATGCAAATTAATAAGTGCAAAAATAATAATGTCCACAATTTTTGTATACAGTCCAACCACCAAAAAGTGACAATCAATACTGAAATCTTTTGTAAGCAATTGACACCGTGAAGAAAATCCACCACTGAATGAATTAAGAACCAGAGCTGAACCAGATTTTGCACTCTCCCAATTTTAGGAAATCGCCTTTATGTTGTCATTTCTGACATCTCTACATATTAAAAACAGTTGTTTTTTTTTTTTTCGCTAGAAAATTACTTAGAGCCCCAAAGTAAAGGTTCTTGAAAATGAAACATATTGCCGTTATTTATGGAGGGAGAGAGAGAGAGAGGATGACCATTTGACATCAAGTTGCTTCCATCCATGCCTCCTAGATTGTAAGCTCCAAAGAGCAGGGCCCTCGATCCCCTCATGTTTTGTATTGTATTGTTATTGTTCTGTCACATGTTCTGTCCCCCTTTGTAATGTACAGCGCTGAGCGAACTATTGGCGCTTTATAAATACTGTATAATAATAATAATCCATGCTGATTGGCTGTTTGCAGTACATTGCTCCCAAACCTTGGAATCTCAACAGATCATCACTCCCAGAGCAATAGCAGCACAGTGGCTAACTGGCTAGCACTTCCGGCTGGCAGTACTCGGGTCGTTGGTTCAAATCCCAGCCACAGCACCTCCTGCCTGGAGTTTGCATGTTCTCCCTGTGCCTGCGTGGGTTTCCTCTGGGTACTCCGGTTCCCTCCCACATGCTGGTAGGTGAATTGGATCCTGTCTAAATTGCCCCTAGTATGTGTATGTATGAATGTGAGTTAGGGACCTTAGATTGTACACCCCTTGAGGTTAGGGACCTTAGATTGTACACCCCTTGAGGGTTAGGGACTGATGTGAATGTACAATATATATGTAAAGCGCTGCGTAAATTGATGGCGCTATAGAAGTACCTGAAATAAATAAATTAGCGATTATGCTGATTTATAATTTAATCAACATATAGCTCTGGTGAGTTTATTTAATTCATTCAGTGGTGGATTTTCTTCACGGTGTCAATTGCTTACAAAAGATTTCGGTATTGATTGTCACTTTTTGATGGTTGGACTTTATACAAAAATTGTGGACATTATTATTATTTTTGCACTTATTAATTTGCATATTGTTTGAGATTATTTGATGCTTTATTACTAGCGCATTCCTTTATTTATATTTTTGATGCTTATACCAGATTTGGGTTAAGGTTTGCAGCTGATTTTGAATTTTTTGGCGCTTTTCTGTTTATTATCACTATATCAGAACATTCATACCTGTGCACATGCTTACCATCTGCACCCATACCGGTGAAACCCTAATTACACCTATTATCTGCATACGGTTAACAGAATATTTGCAATTTCAGTACAGGAAAGGAGCCTGTACAACAATGCAAGACTGAAGAGAAGCCGGGAGGTCAGATTTAACATTTCTTCATTTTATCCCAAATGAAAAAAAAAAATTGAATTGGGGATTTAAAGTGGTTGTAAACAACAAACATGAAATATGAACAGAGCATATCCCTCTATAGTGTCATTTCTGTCAGCTGCCTTGTTTCTCTGCTATCAGCATGAGTCGTTTGTGAAAAGTTTTCCTGACACCAAGAGAAAAATGGTGACAGGGAAAGATACAGCCTGCGATTGAAAGCCTCAGCTCTGTTCCTGTGTACTGTGTGGAGGGGCGGTGTCCCTTCCCTCCACTCAGCTCTCAGAGTTCTCACTGATGTAACGTCAGCTCCCCGCCCCCTGCTTTTCATCATTGAGAGATCCTGTGTAAATTCTGAACTTTGAATGAATGTAGATAAACAGGTACAGCGTATGTAGGAGGATTTGTTTCATCCCTGTGTATCACCTGAGGCCAGTCACTTCACTGGGTATATGTGAGGGTGTACAACCACTTTAAGGTTTTCTCTTAGTAACAGAAAAAGGAGATAGACAGAATTACCTTCATGAGTCCCATTGCATTAGCGGAGATATTTGGAAATCTGTATTCCAGGGGCTCCTGAAAATAGAGTGGAGCATTAGACGCAGGAGGGAGATGGCAAAGCACTCAGTGTGATGGTGTTCTGCAAGCATGGATTGCTGTGCCACCTCCAGTCAGGGGGTGGGGTGGGGTGGAGGGATTCTCACCGTTTTTTCAGGAACTGGAATGCTGACCCCACTGAAGAACAGATTGGTACTGAACACTTGCTGATGCCGGGGAATAAGATCGCCTACAGGAGACAAACACCAAATATATTATCTTATTAAATAAAGAAACACAAAATGCACAGATGTCATAGCGACCAATCAGAAGTCAGTCAATTTGCATGACAATCTGGGGCAGCACAGTGGCTAAATGGTTAGCACTTCTGCCTGGCAGTACTAGGGGTCGTTGGTTCGAATCCCAGCCACGGCACCACCTGCCTGGAGTTTGCATGTTCTCCCTGTGCCTGCGTGGGTATCCTCAGGGTACTCTGGTTTCCTCCCACAATCCAAAGACATGCTGGTAGGTTAATTGGATCCTGTCTAAATTGTCCCTAGTATGTGTATGTACAGTATGAATGTGAGTTAGGGACCTTAGATTGTACATCCCTTGAGGGTTAGGGATTGATGTGAATGTACAATATATATGTAAAGTGCTGTGTAAATTGTCTGCGCTATATAGTACCTGTAATTAATAAATAAATTACAGAGTAATGCAGAAAAGCACTGATAGACGTCACAAGACTGCTATATACTGCTGATGAGAAAAGGTATTTAGCAGTTTAGAATTACTACAATAATTGCACTTCCATGTTGTGTGTGCTGTGGAAGACCAGATATAGTGAATGCAGGGTACGGGGAGACTGGATATAGTGAATGCAGGGTCCTGGGAGATTGGATATAGTGAATGCGGGGTCTGGGGAGAGTGGATATAGTGAATGCAGGGTCCGGGGAGACTGGATATAGTGAATGCGGGGTCCGGGGAGAGTGGATATAGTGAATGCAGGGTCCGGGGAGACCAGATATAGTGAATGCAGGGTCCGGGGAGACCAGATATAGTGAATGCAGGGTCCGGGAGACCAGATATAGTGAATGCAGGGTCCGGGGAGACCGGATATAGTGAATGCAGGGTCCGGGGAGACCGATATAGTGAATGCAGGGTCCGAGAGAGGACCGGATATAGTGAATGCAGGGTCCGGGGAGACCGGATATAGTGAATGCTGGGCCCGGGGAGAGTGGATATAGTGAATGCAGGGTCCGGGGAGACTGGATATAGTGAATGCAGGGTCTGGGGAGAGTGGATATAGTGAATGCAGGGTCCGGGGAGTCCAGATATAGTGAATGCAGGGTCCGGGGAGACCGGATATAGTGAATGCAGGGTCCTGGGAGAGTGGATATAGTGAATGCAGGGTCCGGGGAGACTGGATATAGTGAATGCGGGGTCTGGGGAGAGTGGATATAGTGAATGCAGGGTCCGGGGAGTCCAGATATAGTGAATGCAGGGTCCGGGAGACCGGATATAGTGAATGCAGGGTCCGGGGAGTCCAGATATAGTGAATGCAGGGTCCGGGAGACCGGATATAGTGATGTAGTGAGTGCAGGGTCCGGGGAGACCGGATATAGTGAGTGCAGGGTCCGGGGAGACCGGATATAGTGAATGCAGGGTCCGGGGAGACCGGATATAGTGAATGCAGGGTCCGCGGAGACCGGATATAGTGAATGCAGGGTCCGGGGAGACCAGATATAGTGAATGCAGGGTCCGGGGAGACCAGATATAGTGAATGCGGGGTCCGGGGAGAGCGGATATAGTGAATGCAGAGTCTGGGGAGAGCGGATATAGTGAATGCAGGGTCCGGGGAGAGCAGATATAGTGAATGCAGGGTCCGGGGAGACCGGATATAGTGAATGCAGGGTCCTGGGTTTAGTAACGCTTTAATCCCCCCCCCCCCCCCCCCCCTCTCTACCACCATATATCCACCTTTGCTTTGCTCCTCAGTCACTCTGGTCAGGACCAGGAAACAACCCTATACTTCTGGATATGAATGATCATATGACAGCGCTGGGCCGTTCAGCGCCATCACATGGGGAGTCCAAAGCCCAGTACAAGCTACAACTCCAGCTTGTAGTTTATATGGGAATTTTCTGAATTAGGAGAAGCAGAAAACTGAAAGGAAGCCAAGTATGAGCATCTGAAGAGGCGAGGAACAGATTCACTTTATATCGTCCTGCTGCAAGAACATTCTAAAATCTCATATATTGTAAAGAATAAAAAACACTCCTCGCCCACCCTGGTTTTCACTTTTGTTATAAAGCAGCAGGTTCTTTTAGTATGACTACGTTCATGTCACTCACCCAGAGTTTTCCTGATGAGGTATAACTGATCCACGTCAGATTTGCCTGGCCACAGAGGGATTCCAGATATGAGCTCAGCAAACACGCAGCCAATAGCCCAGACATCCACAGGAGGGCCGTACTGGGTATCACCCACAAGCAGCTCTGGCGCTCGGTACCACCTTGTAGCCACATAATCTGTGTAGTAGTCGCTGGGTCCAGCTAATCAGTCACAGAAAATAATAAATGAAAATATAAATATTGTGGGGAACATTTTAAAAATTTGCTGAAGAAAAAACTGTTTGCAGAGCTCAATAGCTCAAATTTAAAGTTCCACCAAAAATTCAATAACTGGGTATCACCCACAAGCAGCTCTGGTGTGCTGTACCACTTTATAGACCACATACTCCGTGTGATAGTCACTGGGTCCAGCTAATCACTCACAGAGAATAACAAATAGAAATATTGTGGGGAACATTTAAAAAAATTGCTGAAAAAAACTGTTTACAAAGCTCAATAGCGCAAGTTTAAAGTTCCACAAAAAACCCAATTACTGGGTATCACCCACAAGCAGCTCCAGTGCTCTGTACCACCTTATAGCCACATAATCTGTGTAGTAGTCGCTGGGTCCAGCTAATCAGTCACACAGAATAATAAATAGAAATATTGCGGGGAACATTTTATAAAAATTTACTTTGATTTCCACCCCCCCCCCCAAAGCTCAATAGCTCAAGCTTAAATTTCCACCAAAAACTCAGTTGGGGGAACTAAAGGTTCCTGAGCCTCTGAAACTTTGTGGCGTGCACCACATCAATTGAGCAGATAAGACCTACAGTACATCAGATCTCTCTGTACCACCCACACTAGTTACTATTTCAGAGACAAACAGAAACTGGTGCAGGGTCCGCTCCTAATTAACAAAAAGACTGCAGCAGTTTTCAGCATAGAAAATGACTACAGACCCCTGCAGATGTGACCTGGGGGTGCAGATAGCTCACAAGCCTGTAAAAATGTGGAATAGACTCCCTCAAGAGTTGGTTCTGGCCAGCTCAGTGGATTGCTTTAAAAAAGTCCTGGATTCTTTCCTAGATACACAGAATATAACTGGATACTAATATTTATAGGTAAGTTGATCCAGGGAATATCCGATTGCCTCTCGGGGGATCAGGAAGGAATTTTTTCCCTGCAGGAGCAAATTGGAGCATGCTTTGCTGGGTTTTTTTGCCTTCCTCTGGATCAATCGTGGGTATAGGATCATAACTTTTTTTTTTTTTTAATGGTTGAACTGGATGGATTTTGTCTTTTTTCAGCCAGACTAACTATGTAACTATCAAACTAGAAGAGGGCAAGGGTCCATTATGCTAAAGAGGCCACAGGCATAAAACACTACTTAGGAATGATCCAAAAATAACTGTGAAATTAATCATTTGCTAGAATAAAGCCTTTAATTCCAAATCTAATTCTACCAAAAGTTTTATAATGGGCAGATAAGCCAATCATAAATGGGCAACTTCTCCCTGATGCCCGACACATGGCCTGGCGCAGCTTGCCAAATCCTGGCCTGGTTGCGCCACCTGTTGGGCACAAGAGAAAGCTCACAATATGTTGCATTTCCAAGCTGCCGAGTCCTTTGAAATGGCGGCCAGCAGTTTCAATGGGACACCTGCCAGCTCTGCCCTGGAAAAGTCTGCTGTCCGACTGATCCTTGCTGCAGAATTGTAGTTATACTACAAATGTACTCACTTAATATCCTGGCAAATCCAAAATCGCACAATTTAATGACCAAGTGCTTGGTGATGAGAATATTCTCTGGCTTGACATCACGATGAATACACTGCAGAGATACAAACAGAATCATCTTAAAGCATAAAAAGTAAAAGGAGAAACTGATTTTGGTGGCATTGCTCTTCAAGATTGACTCCACTTTTGTTTTTTTCAGGGGCTGCTGAAAAAAAACCACAGAAAATCTCCTAAATGTGAGTTTATCAGCTGCAGTGTACATGGAGCCTTCTACAATGCTGAGTTCTTGAAAGGGGTAGAATCACTATAAAAGAAAATGTAACATGCAAATAGGTTTTCAGTAAAAGCAAAGCTTGGAATTTGTGACTATGTATACAGCTGGGCAACAGAAATAAAAAACACAACAGTGATAAAGGCCGCTTTGTAGTGACTGCATGTGGATCAGAACAAATAGAAGTATAACAAGCCAGTCTTCAAGGATCGGCCACAGACACTCTTTATAGATATATAAACTGTTTTATGTGTTCTAGTTTGCATGAGAAATAAGAAGCAGATGGTGTGGAGTCTTTAGTGTCATACGGATCGGTTCTATACAGCCTAGAACTAGGAAGAAGAGTACATGAAAGTCACAGTCCCTGGTGCACCATGCATTTTCAGAAGTAATACAGTGGACAGAAAGGGGTTTATTTACTAAAGCTGGAGAGTCCAAAATCAGACTCCCTTCTGCATAGAAACCAATCAGCTTCTAACCTCAGCTTGTTCAATGAAGCTTTGGCAATGAAACCTGGAAGCTGATTGGTTTCTATGCAGAAGGGAGTCTGATTTTGGACTCTCCAGCTTTAGTAAATAAACCCCAAAAAGTCTACACACCCCTGTTAAAATGTCAGGTTTCTGTGATGTAAAAAATGAGACAAAGATAAATCATTTCAGAATTGTTTCCACCTTTAATGTGACCTATAAACTGTACAACTCAATTGAAAAACAAATCTTTTTTTGGAGGGGAGTAAACATAAAAAACTAAAATAATGTGGTTGCATAAGTGTGCACACCCTCTTATAACTGGGGATGTAGCTGTGTTCAGAATTAATCAATCACATGTAAAATCATGTTAAAGTGGAGTTCCAATAGGAAGAAGGGTGAGCCGCACACCGGAGGATGGATGAATATAGAGTGTATTTATTGATCCATAGGACACACAAAACAGAAGGACATGAATACAGGACTTGTCAACACGGTTCACACAATCTCGTACTTAATCATAACAAAGAAAACACACAAGTGCTGTCTTATATAGGTATTAGTTAATAAAGAACACCTGTCTTAATCAGCACTTCTGAATCCTGAGGGTACACCTACTAATACATTGTAACAAGACATATAAAACCATTGTATCAAAAGTAGTGATCTCAAAGAACAACAAGAAAGGAAGAAAAGAAAAAAGGAAAGTGAAGTAAAATAAAAATAAAAACAAAGAAAGAGTAAAAGAAAAATTGGATAAAAATAATTGTGAAAAAATATTATGAAAAAATTATAAATGCAAAATAGAATAACAAACACAGATAAAAGTGAGTAAATATCCCAAGAAGATATGGGCTAAGAAGCCACATTAGTAAATAATCAAAATTGGAGTGGAGTTCCAGCTGAAAAATAAATAAATAATAATAAATAAAAGTCAGCAGCTACAAAAACTGTAGCTGCTGACTTTTAGAATACAGCCACTTACCTGTCCCTCAGTCCAGCGGTGTCCTCACCACGGCTGGTTTCACTGGCCGTCTTCTCTCCCCGGAGTTGGCATCTGAAGACAGCTTGCGGCTTCACAGCCGGGTGCCCACTGCGCATGCGTGAGAAGCACTGCGCTTTGTGAATGGCCCCGTAGTCTTCTGGGACCTGTCACGTGTCCCAGAAGACTACGGGGAGGGGAGACAACCTCCGCTTTCGATTGCCTAGGCGATCGTAGCAGAAGTGGGAGCGGGTACCTGTCAAATTCGGATACCCGCTTCCCAAAGGTGCCAATCATTAATGGGGAGCGGGGACAAAGACTTAAAGCGGAACATCCCCTTTTGGGTGGAGCTGCGCTTTAAGGTAAAAATCCTTCTACCTTTACAACCACTTTAAGCATCCTCTGCAACAAAAATGTATTTTTTGTTTAGGTAGTCCCAAAGAGTTCATCACTGTTAAAAGGGATGCCGACCCTACAGCTTTCCTCATTAGAACACTGCAAGTGTATCAGCTGATTAAAAATGAACAAGTCACTCCCATTCAGGTTCCCTCTGAATTTTCAAGGAAATTAAAACTTAAATTTTTTAATTTCCTTGAATTTTCAAGGAAATTAAAAAAAATTTCGCTCATCCTTATTTAAAAATAAATGACCAGAAGCAGCTTTCATAATTCCTCCGTTAAGGTCTCTATTGTTATCTTGTATCATCCAAAGAGTTACTTAGTGACAAACCAAAGAACAATTAGCTAAAACGTAAACCCTGGCACATGCAAGGATCACAACACCAGAGCGGGTGTCACAAGAGAGATTAGTGCAAGATGAGACAGGAGGGGAGGACTGTGTAATCTAGATACAAATGCTAATTGGTTCTATATTTGGCCTTTAATGGTTTCAGCAACAAGAGAGAAGAAGCAGACACAGTGTGACAGTTACGGAGCCTCCGGGTGTGTCATCTGAAAGACGCTTCTAGATGACAAGTGAAGCTGACATACACTAGAATTATGTTCAAACACTTTAGTTGTAAAGGTTGTTTGTTCTATTTTCTAATTGCTAATGGTGTCACATCAACATTCACTTTCAACCATAGTGATGAAAACATTAGAAGGAATAGGATGGAAATGAACTTTTAACAGTGAATGTTGTTTTAGTTGGGTAAAGTTGCTTCACATCAAAATTGAATGGTGAAAACAGCCTTTTTATGTAACTACTTTTAGGGCCGGTTCACACTATAGAAATACAGTCAAGATGCGTTCTGGATTCGTTTCCGCATACGTGTTTTTGACGCATTCTGACGCATTCCACTTAATTTTTTCCCCTCTCTTTTTCATCAATTTAAATAGGGACATTACGTTCCAGTGCATTTTTGATGGTTTATTTATTTATGAAAGGGTACTTATATAGCGCCGTCAACTTACGCGCACACACACACATATATATATATATACACACACACACACACATATATATATATACATATATATATATATATATACACACACACACACATATATATATATATACACACATACACATATATATATATATATACACACACACACACACACACATATATATATATATACACAGTGGGGATCGAAAGTTTGGGCATCCCAGCTAAAAATTTGTATTAATGTGCATAAAGAAGCCAAGGAAAGATGGAAAAATCTCCAAAAGGCATCAAATTACAGATTAGACATTCTTATAATATGTCAACAAAAGTTAGATTTTATTTCCATCATTTACACTTTCAAAATAACAGAAAACAAAAAAAAATGGGGTCTGCAAAAGTTTGGGCACCCTGCAGAATTTATAGCATGCACTGCCCCCTTTGGCAAGTATCACAGCTTGTAAACGCTTTTTGTAGCCAGCCAAGAGTCTTTCAATTCTTGTTTGAGGTATCTTTGCCCATTTTTCCTTACAAAAGTCTTCCAGTTCTTTGAGATTTCTGGGCTGTCTGTCACGCACTGCTCTTTTAAGGTCTATCCATAGATTTTCAATTATGTTGAGGTCAGGAGATTGTGAAGGCCATGGCAAAATCTTCAGTTTACGCCTCTTGATGTAATCCCCTGTGGATTTCGAGGTGTGTTTAGGATCATTATCCATTTGTAGAAGCCATCCTCTCTTTAACTTCAGCTTTTTCACAGATGGCATCAAGTTACCATCCAAAATTTGCTGAAATTTTATTGAATCCATTTTTCCTTCTACTCGTGAGATGTTCCCTGTGCCACCGGCTGCAACACAACCCCAAAGCATGATTGATCCAACCCCATGCTTAACAGTTGGACAGAGGTTAATTTCATTAAATTCTGTGCCCCTTCTTCTCCAAACGTACCTTTGCTCATTCCAGCCAAAAAGTTCAATTTTAACCTCATCGGTCCACAGAACTTGTTTCCAAAATGCATCAGGCTTGTCTATATGTTCATTTGCAAAGTTCAAACGATGATTTTTGTGGTGAAGATGTAGAAGAGGTTTTCTTCTGATGACTCTTCCAAGAAGACCATATTTGTACAAGTATCTCTTCTTAGTGGAATAGTGTACCACAGCTCCAGTGTCTGCCAGATCTTTCTGGAGGGATCGTGCAGTCAAACGTGGGTTTTGAATTGTTTTTCTCACAATCCTGCGAGCTGTTCGGTCTGATATTTTTCTTGGTCTTCCAGATCTTGCTTTAACTTCCACTGTTCCTGATGACTGCCATTTCTTAATTACATTCCGAACAGAGGATACTGACATCTGAAAACGCTTTGCTATCTTCTTATAGCCTTCTCCAGCTTTGTGAGCGTCAACTATTTTCAGTTTCAGTTTTCTAGACAACTGCTTAGAAGAACCCATGGTGCTGATTGTTGGGCAAGGTCAGATGAGTCTGGGCATTTAAAACCTTTGAGCTTGACATCACCTGGTCTTCCCAGACGATGATTGAGAACAATCCATGACACTGGCAGGTCTCAGCTTTGCAAAGGGGGCAGTGCATGCTATAAATTCTGCAGGGTGCCCAAACTTTTGCAGACGCCATTTTTTTGTTTTCGGTCATTTTGAAAGTGTAAATGATGGAAATAAAATCTAACTTTTGCTGACATATTATAAGAATGTCTAATCTGTAATTTGATTATTCCATCTTTCCTTGGCTTCTTTATGCACATTAATACAAATTTGTAGCTGGGGTGCCCAAACTTTTGATCCCCACTGTATATATATATATATATATACACACACACACACACACATATATATATACACACACACACACATATATATAATGTGTGTATATATATATATATATATATATATATATATATATATATATATATATATATATATATATATATGTGTGTGTGTATAAATAATAATGTGTCAGGGATCCCCGCCGCGATGGGCTCGGCGCAGGCGCAGTGCACCGCCCTGTGTCAGAATGCGGGCACTGAGACCTGGCCGTCCGCAGCGAGGGAGTTCGCGCATGCGCAGTATGGACCGCGGGCGCGCGCATGGCAGCGCAGGGCGGGATATTTAAATGGCCCTGAGCTGTCATTCAGTGCCTTCTGGTCTTTCCTTGTATCCTGTATCTGCGAACCTGTACTAAGTAAGTTACTGACCCGGATTGTACCTGACATTGTTGCCTTCTCCTGCCCAGACCCTTGCTTTGCCTGACCTCTCTCCTGAATGCCCCCGTTTGGATCTGACCTTCCGTTGCTGACCTGGCATGACCCGACTACTCTCTGCCCGCTGCTTTGTACTGCTCCGTCCCCACTGTTACCGACCCGACTCGTTTGACCTTGCACTTGCTCAGCCATCCATCCATCCCGACGGGATCACCCGACCTCCTCACATCAGGCTCTTCCCTGTGGGAGCCCCTGGCGAATACTGCTACCACTGACAGGCGTGCTCAGTAGCCACGACCTGGTCTCGGGGTACTTCAAGTCCATCCCCACCATCAGGGGCTCTGGTGAACACGTACCCTGGGGCTTAGATTCCGTGCGCTGGGGACGTCTGGCCAGTGGTGTGCTAGTGGTACCGCCAGGCGGTCCTTTACATAATGCGTGTGTGTATATATATATATATATATATATATATATATATATATACATACATACACACACACACACACACACACACACACACATATGTAAAGCACTGTATATTTAGGATTCTTTAGTTTATTTTATTTAACGATCATTGCTTTTGTGTTTTTTTCCCGCCCTATTTTTGTTGAATCGTTATTTGTGTATTGTTGTCTGACATTTTATATTTAACTATTTTCACTGTCTGGCTTTTATTTTTTTTGTTTTTGTGAAAAAGAAACAAATAAGGAGCCATTTTTTTGGCACTGGAACAAGTTCTGGATAGGTGATAGCTAAAATGAGCTTCCATAACCTCTAGAAACCATTTCAAAGGTTAGGTTCACCTTTTGAGAAAAAAAAATATTAAAAGCACATTGTTTTGCAGATAAAAATAGGTGTATAATTTTTTTTCCCCCAGGAGCTTAAAAAGCATTGCACCTGCGATTAGTGGATCTCGATAAGGGCTGTCAGTTTGAAACTAAGGGCGAGCTGATCAGCGCCCTCGCAGGTCATTGAGAACTACAATCTGCCTGCTATGGTGGCAGACAGGACTTGTAGTTATTTCATTCACAGATCGCTTTGAATAAATGATGTGGCTGTGTGGGTGGAGCCCCTCAAAAAGTGACAGCGAGTACAGGGAGAAGAAAGGGAAGGGGATGGGTTGAGGATGGGGAGGGGGGGGGTACTGCTAAATATAGGTGTAAAGTGTAATATGCTACAGCAGGTGAACTTAGCCTTTAAAAGCCAGAGGCACCTTTACGAACTACCGTACCTTAATTTTACCTTAGTTATTGACTTCAATGCATTTCATTAAAATGGCATAAAAATTGATTTTGCAGAGATTTCAGGAAAATTAAAATTCAATTTTAATCATTCCTACACATGCAACATCACAGTGACTTGTCCCTCATCAAACTGTCCTGTCTGAGTCTTCAAATCAGACAAAGTCAACTTTCAGGCGGGATGTTACTATTGTCCGGTCTCTTTAGTTAGCCTTCTTTGCTCTGGGAATCCCCTGCCCCTGTGCAGAGTGCTTGCTGCAAGGCTCCTATGAGCAATGTTAAAGTGGTTCCAAAGTCAAAATATTTTTTACCTTAAAGTGATTCTAAACTTTTTTTTTTTTAAATAACAAAACACGTTATACTTACCTGATCCTCCTCTTATCTAGTCCCCCACTGGTGCCCCTGGCTCCTCCTCCTTGACCAGTGCCCCCAATAGCAAGCCGATTGCTATGGGGGGCACTGGTGCGTGTTCAATCCCGAGCCCCACTCTATGTGCCCATAGAACACACAGAGCTGTGGTTTGGCCCTGTCCCCCGCTCTCTCCTCATTGGCTCACTGGCTGTGATTGACAGCAGTAGGAGCCAATGGCTCCCGCTACTGTTTCTCAGCCAATGAGGAGAGAGACCCGTGACAGCCAAGGCTCAGGATGGCTCGGGGAGAGCTGAACACTGAAGATTTTTTACCTTCATGCATTTTATGCATGAAGCTAAAAAAAAACCTTCTGCCTTTAAAACCACTTTAATGCATTCACTGCTTCCGTGCTGCCCTATAGAAGAAATACTGCTACAGGGTGGCATGGGTGTGCAAAATCACGTATATATGTGATTGTGCAGACCTGGGTAGGGGGCGCTTGCACCCCCTACCTGTGCCGCCATTCACGGCCTTGGCTTTCAATCACTGGGTCCCGGCCGGTGATCCCTCATTGGCACCCGGTGATCACCGAGTATTACCAATGGGGGAGAGACCTGTGTACAAACAAACACAGATCTCTCCCCTGTCAGCTCCTGTACACTGCTTTTTATGGCTCTGCATAGCAGAGCCATATAAAGCAGTGTGCTCACAGAGTAAAAACACACACAGCACACAGTTAACCCTTTGATCACCCCAGATGTTAACCCCTTCCTGGTAGTGTCATTAGTACAGTGTCAGTGATTTTTATTAGCACTGATCACTGTATTGGTGTCAATGGGGATGTCAGTGACACCAAGTCAGTTCCCCCCAGTTTCAGAATGAAGCAGTCCCGCTATAGGTCACTGATCGCTGCCATTACTAGTACAAAAAAAAAAAATTCCAGGATATGTACCACCATTTGTAAACACTATAACTTTCATGTAAACCAATTAATTCACACATATTGGGGTTTTTTTTTCAGCAAAGACGTAGCAGAATACATTTTGGCCTAAATTTAGGACGAAATTTGATTTTTTTTATTTTTTTTGAATGGACATGTTTAATAGCAAAAAGCCAAAAATATTGTTTTTTTTCAAAATTGTTGGTCTTTTTTTGTTCATAGCACAAAAAATTAAAAAACACAAAGGCGATCAAATACCACCAAAAGAAAGCTCTATTTGTGGGGGAAAAAGGCCATACATTTTATTTGGGTGCAGCGTTGAATGACCGTGCAATTGTCAATTAAAGTAACGCAAAAAATGGCCTGGTCAGGAAGGGGGGGGGGGGGGGTAGAAAATATGTCCCAATGTTCTACTCTCCTCCCTTCCTAAAGACTTACCTGGCTTCTGTCACCGCTCCAGCACCGTTGCAGCTGCAGCACCACTCCCCTCACCTCCTAGTCTCACAGGAGACACTGCAGGCAGCAGGAGCCATTGGTCCCCGCAGCTGTCAGTCACACTCCCCTGAAAAGGAAGCAGGGGCGTGGCTTACTAACTGTATATCTATAGACACACACAGCCACGAGCGGACTGACAACTCACGGGGCCCCTGGGCAATAGGGGATCATGGGGCCCCTGTGTCCTTGCCAAAACTCAAAAAAGTCTAGGAAAAAGGTATCAGGGGTATCTCATGGGGCCCCCTACTGACCCCGGGCCCTCAAACAGTGCCGGAGTTTCAAAATGGTCAGTCTGCCCCTGCACCCAGCCCAGCTTGGGAGTGTACATGTACAGGTGACTCCATAGCACCCAGCTTGCTAAGGAGGCACCCAGAGGAGGAAGGAGCGGACATCACCATCGGTAGACTGCTAGAAAAAGGTGGAATTAGACCTGTGTAATATCATTGCACAGAGCAGATAAGTATAACGTCTGTTTTTATTTCATTTTAATCCCCCCCAAACATTCTCCTTTAGCGATCAGTTTAAAAAGAGAACCATAAGTCACATATAGTTCATATGTCAATGCCTTAGGGGTCTAATACACGAATCAGATTAACCACACTTCCAAAAATCTATGTACTTACATTGTGTTTGTGGCAGAAGTTGACGGCTTGTAGCGTTTGCCAGATTATGCTTTTTACAAGATGTTCCGGTACACTAAAGAAAAACAGAAAAAGTAAAACAAATTAGTTCAGCCAAATGTACCAGAATGTGCACAGCCAGCAAGTCATTGTTATGTTCCAGTAATACAACTACACCAGCTTCCAGCCCTCAGTAGAGATGTGCATGACAATAAAATTCATTTTGTTTCATATTCTTCCCTCAAAGTGTTACTAAACCCCGTACCCTGCATTCACTATATCCGGTCTCCCAGGACCCTGCATTCACTATATCCGGTCTCCCCGGACCCTGCATTCACTATATCCGCTCTCCCCCGGACCCTGCATTCACTATATCCGGTCTCCCAGGACCCTGCATTCACTATATCCGGTCTCCCCGGACCCTGCATTCTCTATATCCGGTCTCCCCGGACCCTGCATTCTCTATATCCGGTCTCCCCGGACCCTGCATTCTCTATATCCGGTCTCCCCGGACCCCGCATTCTCTATATCCGGTCTCCCCGGACCCCGCATTCTCTATATCCGGTCTCCCCGGACCCTGCATTCACTATTCATCAGGGCTCCCCGGACTCTGCATTCACTATATCAGGGCTCCCCGGACTCTGCATTCACTATATCAGGGCTCCCCGGACTCTGCATTCACTATATCAGGGCTCCCCGGACTCTGCATTCACTATATCTGGTCTCCCAGGACCCTGCATTCACTATATCTGGTCTCCCAGGACCCTGCATTGACTATATCTGGTCTCCCCGGACCCTGCATTCACTATATCCGGTCTCCCTGGACCCTGCATTCACTATATCTGGTATCCCTAGACTCTGCATTCACTATATCTGGTCTCCCCGGACCCTGCATTCACTATATCCCCGCTCTCCCCCCAGACCCTGCATTCACTATATCTGGTCTCCCACATAACACAGAACATGCAAATGCAATTGTTTTAGTAAATATAAACTGCTAAATACCTTTTCTCATCTGCAATATATAGTAATCTTGTGACTTCTATCTGTGTCTGGCTGAGCACTGGTTAAAGCTTGAGGAGTTTTCATTCTGCTCTGACTGTCCTATAGGGCTGCATAACCCCTGACCCTCTGTCAGGACAGTGCTGATTGGCCCTGTGCTGATCACATGCATGCTCCAAAGAAAAAAAAAAACCCTCTCTAGCAATACACACCAAACTAAGCATGTGCAGCTTGCCCCCAAGGCTCTGTTCTATCAGGAGATATTTACGAGACACTGGAAGAAGGGGAGGATCAGAGAAGATAGGATCAAACAGCCTTTTACACAATGCAGAGGATTAACCCATTAGGTTCCACAGTGAGTATAACAAGCATGCTTTACTGCATCTACAGACTGATTTCACTGTTGTGGGTTTAGTAACACTTAAGTCAATCATTTCACTTTATCACATTCATTATGTAAGAACGATTTGTTTTCGGAATTCGTTTTGTTTATTTAGGTTTGTTTTGTACATTCGTTGTTCCAAATCAATTAGTATTTTTGGAAGTTAATTATTTTGGAAAAATTCAGATTCATTTGTTATTTTATTACAGATGCTTCAAATGTTAAGGTTTAGTTCACACTGCTGTGACCCCAACAGTTGTGCAACTTCCAGTGCGACTTTGCATTGTTACTTGCATGCCACTTGCTGCGACTTTGGCCAATCACAAAAATACAAAGTGTGACATGTTATTGAACGTACAAAACCCTCTGAAGTCGCAGCCAAAGTCGCAAAGATAAAACAAAGAGACAACTTCCTTGTGACTTTTGTGATTTTAACATTACAAAAGGTCCAAAAAAACTATTGCATCCTGTCATCCCAATGAAGTGAATTAATTTGTTGTTTTTGTTAGAATGTATTTGGATTAGTTGAATTTCGTTAATATTGTGATTCGGAGATTCGGATACATATTGTAACGGAACCGACCCAGACCTCGCTTGAGTACTTCCATTAGAATACCGCTTCCCCGTCCGAACACTGACAACAGACACCACAGCCGACCATAAAAGACTTGACAACACCAGTATTGAAGTAAACCAGGAGGTAGACTCGTTTATTTGAACACAGAACATTTATTAACAAGAGAAACACAGGTATTCAAACTTCACACCAGCAGACAGTCCCATCAGGAGGGAAGGCTGCTGGAGACACCCCCCCACTAAGCTAATACACAAACACATACATCCCATAATAGTTTGCTCTCAAGCCAGACAAACAATAGAACAATGGGATGCAGCCACATAACATTAAATAAACAACAACCCCCCACCCCACCTATCTCCTAGACATTTCTACACAATATTAGGACAGATCACCCTGTATCCCTGCAGGCACAGGGTGACTTACACATAAGAGGGCTATGGGGAGCTGAGACAGGAGTCTCCCCACCTCTCCAAAGTGAGCTGGGTTCCATGGGCCCCCCCACCCAAAGTGACTCCTCTCACACATATTAATCTCCGAATAATAAAACTTTCATCCAAATTTCAATTTGTAACTAAATGAATGTCTAACCCACAGTAAAATTGGATCATGGGATACAGCATAGCGAAAATGGCACTGGGAATTTATATGGAGGACTGTAGTATAGATAATAGACTGGTTGTAAAGGCTCAAGGTTTTTTACTTGCATGCATTTTGTGCATAAAGGTGAAAAACCTTTTGTGTGTGACTCCCCTAAATACTCACTTGAGTCCCATAGCGATCCAGCAATGTGTACTAGAGCCTCAGTTCTCTGAGGACCCTCCTTCCTCATTGGCTGAGCCAATGGCTCCTGTCAATCACAGGCAGTGAGTCAATAAGGATAGAGAGGAAAGGGCCAAGCCAGAGCTGTGTGTGTGAATGGACACACAGAGCAGCAGCTCGAGAGTGGGCCAGCTTGGGTGTCTCCATAGGAAGTGGCTTGCTCCAGGGGAGCTCAAGAGGAGGGAGGGACCAGGAGAGGTGGCGGGGGACCCGAGAAGAGGAGGATGAGAGGCTGTTCTGTGCAAAACCATTACACAGCGCAGGTAAGTATAACATGTTTGATTTTTTTTTTCTTAATTGCATTTAATATCACTTTAATGTAGACCTTTACATATCTAAAGCTGACCATAAGTGATTAGATAGATAGAAATGTATTTATTTTTATTTATTTCAGGTACTTATATAGCGCCATCAATTTACACAGCACTTTACATATATATTGTACATTCACATCAGTCCCTAACCCTCAAGGGGCGTACAATCTAAGGTCCCTAACTCACATTCATACATACACATACTAGGGACAATGTAGACAGGAGCTAATTCACCTACCAGCATATCTTTGGAGTGTGGGAGGAAACCAGAGTACCCAGAGGAGACCAACGCACGGCACAGGGAGAACATGCAAACTCCAGGCAGGTGGTTCCGTGGTTGGCATTCAAGCCAATGACCCTAGTGCTGCCAGGCGGATATGATCTCCATGTATAAATACATAAGGGGGGATATGATCTCCATGTATAATACATAAGGGGGGATATGATCTCCATGTATAATACATAAGGGGGGATATGATCTCCATGTATAATACATAAGGGGGGATATGATCTCCATGTATAATACATAAGGGGGGATATGATCTCCATGTATAATACATAAGGGGGGATATGATCTCCATGTATAATACATAAGGGGGGATATGATCTCCATGTATAATACATAAGGGGGGATATGATCTCCATGTATAATACATAAGGGGGGATATGATCTCCATGTATAATACATAAGGGGGGATATGATCTCCATGTATAATACATAAGAGGGATATGATCTCCATGTATAATACATAAGGGGGGATGTGATCTCCATGTATAATACATAAGGGGGGATGTGATCTCCATGTGTAATACATAAGGGGGATATGATCTCCATGTATAATACATAAGGGGGGATATGATCTCCATGTATAATACATAAGGGGGGATATGATCTCCATGTGTAATACATAAGGGGGGATATGATCTCCATGTATAATACATAAGGGGGGATATGATCTCCATGTATAATACATAAGGGGGGATATGACTCCATGTATAATACATAAGGGGGGATATGATCTCCATGTATAATACATAAGGGGGGGATATGATCTCCATGTATAATACATAAGGGGGATATGATCTCCATGTATAATACATAAGGGGGGATATGATCTCCATGTATAATACATAAGGGGGGATATGATCTCCATGTATAATACATAAGGGGGGATATGATCTCCATGTATAATACATAAGGGGGATATGATCTCCATGTATAATACATAAGGGGGGATATGATCTCCATGTATAATACATAAGGGGGATATGATCTCCATGTATAATACATAAGGGGGATATGATCTCCATGTATAATACATAAGGGGGGGATATGATCACCATGTATAATACATAAGGGGGATATGATCTCCATGTATAATACATAAGGGGGGATATGATCTCCATGTATAATACATAAGGGGGGGATATGATCTCCATGTATAATGCATAAGGGGGGATATGATCTCCATGTATAATGCATAAGGGGGATATGATCTCCATGTATAATACATAAGGGGGGATATGATCACCATGTATAATACATAAGGGGGATATGATCTCCATGTATAATACATAAGGGGGGATATGATCACCATGTATAATACATAAGGGGGATATGATCTCCATGTATAATACATAAGGGGGATATGACCTCCATGTATAATACATAGGGGGGGATATAATCTCCATGTATAATACATAAGGGGGATATGATCACCATGTATAAATACATAAGGGGGATATGATCTCCATGTATAATACATAAGGGGGGATATGATCACCATGTATAATACATAAGGGGGATATGATCTCCATGTATAATACATAAGGGGGGGGATATGATCTCCATGTATAATACATAAGGGGGATATGATATCCATGTATAATACATAAGGGGGGATATGATCACCATGTATATTACATAAGGGGGATATGATCTCCATGTATAATACATAAGGGGGATATGATCTCCATGTATAATACATAAGGGGGATATGATCTCCATGTATAATACATAAGGGGGGATATGATCTCCATGTATAATACATAAGGGGGATATGATCACCATGTATAATACATAAGGGGGGGATATGATCTCCATGTATAATACATAAGGGGGGATATGATCTCCATGTATAATACATAAGGGGGATATGATCACCATGTATAATACATAAGGGGGGATATGATCTCCATGTATAAATACATCAGTGGTTTATATAGTGAACTCGGTGTGGAGTTATTCACCCTGAGGTCATCACAGAGGACAAGGGGGGGGGCTCTTTACGTCTGGAGGAAAAGAATCTCCAAACACGGAAAGGTTTCTTCACAGTGAATATATGGAATAGACTCCCTGAAGAGTTGGTTCTGGCCAGCTCAGTGGATTGCTTTAAAAAAGACCTGGATTTTTTTCTAGATCCAATTCACCTACCAGCATGTCTTTGGAGTTTTGGAAAACACCAGAGTACCCAGAGGAAACCCACGCAGGCACAGGGAGAACATGCAAACTCTAGGCAGGTGGTGCCGTGGTTTGGATTCAAACCAACAATCCTAGTACTGCCAGGTGGAAGTGCTAACCATTTAGCCACTGTGCTGCCTGAATCTGAACATAGATTCTTCCATCCACAAAAGAGAGGTGGATGGAGGGCGATAGCCCCTGTCCTCGTGGGTGGTTTAGGCATTTGCTCACCATAACAAGTGTACTCCATGAAGATAAACTAGAATTCTGTGTAATATTTTATTTTCTCAGCTAAAATGTTACAATATATAGAATGAACCTAATACAATGTTGTGGTATAAAACACATAAGAAAGCCG